AAGTAAGGGGAAATGTGTGTTCGTCTTATGGAGCGAATGCAGGCTGTGCGGCTATCCCAGAAGCCAGAACAATGAGAGGGATCGCTGTTCTAGCTTCTGGCTTAGCCATGCGAAGCCTCTTCAGGGCATGGGGAGCCTTTCATCCCGCTGCCCTGAGGAGGCTTCACACAGCTATCCCTGGCTTTTGCGGGAGGTGGGGGAAGGGACAGAAGGGCTGCCCTCTGTCCCTTCCCCCACCTTCCGGAAAAGCCCACAAGAGCCCTGCTCCCTTCAAAGAGTGTGCGGCTCTTGCTGGCTTTTGCGGGAGGTTGGGGAAGGGACAGAGGGCAGCCCCTCAGTCCCTTCCCCCACCTCTCAGAAAAGCCCGCAAGAGCTGCGCTCCCCTTAAAGAGCCGCGCGGGGGACTGCCCTTCTCCCTCCTTGGGGAAAAGCCTGCAAGCGCCGCACACACACTCCTTGCAGCTCGTGAAAGGGAGCACTGAGCAGAGCCTGGGATGCATACAGGCTCTGCTCAGCGCTCCCTTTAAAGAATTTTTTTTTCTTGCATTCCCCCTCTAAAAAGCAGGTGCATCCTATGGTCAGGTGCGTCTTACGGAGCGAAAAATACAGTAACTAAGGCATGCAGGAATGTGGCTAGGCCTGTCCTATTTGGGGAAAGGTGCTGCTGGTTTTCCAGTATAGGCTTAGCAAAGACTCTCCTGGCTACACCTGTCACCTTGGAAACCCAGGAGGAGCGTGGAATCCAAAATCCTGGTTTGTAGTTGCTTCGTTTGTATGCCGTTTCCCCACATACCTTACATTCAAGCTGTTCACAATCGTGCATAAGAAAAAGAACCAAAAACACAAATCATTATCCAGAATAGTTATGAACTCAGTTTTCTGAGTGTTGGTCCATAGCTGAAACAGCACTGTGCACGTTCAAGAGGGAAGTGTCATCAGGGCTGGAAGAGCCCCAAGGTTCGCACCAGTACAAAAAACTTAGTGGGGGGGAACCCTAAGGGATGGACCCCCGTAAGCTGGTAGGCTGTTGAATTGGGGGGTTGGACATTGAAGAACAACACCAGATCTGACCCACAAACGGCTAAAGAGATCACCTTACCAGAATTTCATCTGCAATAACAGCTACTTGTAAGGCTTCTGCTGTCAAATTAAAACTCAGGGGCTTGATTCTTTGACCACCAGCTTCTCTTAGTCCCCTTTCCAACCATCTTCCATTCATGTCTTTATTATTAGTAAAAATGTTTTTTAATAAATAAATAAATTGGTGCTTAAAAACATACACATAACATCTTCCTCCTCTTCCCCATTTTTGCTGGCTGGGAATGCGAAAACAGCCCAATTTGCCAAAATGAAAGCAACATGGGGGTCAATTCCTCATTGAGGCCTGCAAGTCAGTCACCCTGTGGAGCTTGTCAAATGAAGAATAGCAGCCACAGCAGCGTGGGCTTAATGGGGCTGAAGCAGAGGATCGCGGGTCATTTGCATCAGCAATATTTTAATTGGCCCATAGGTACTTAAGTGATTGGCATTCTGAAATTGCTTTAGGTAGCTTTAATATGTGATGCTCAATTTCACAAGAGTGATCTTCTATTTCATGAAATATAATGATGTGCATTAATTCTGTAGCGCAGCTGCAAAATGTTAAGTCATGGGAGTTTTCACTGCAGATTTCTCATGCCTCTGCGTCAATTCTACAAATTGGACCACTGAGATGTAATTCTTTCTCTCTCCCAGCAATGCAGAATGTGGAGGGGGGAGGGTTGGAGTTAAATAGTTTCATCCACTATGGCCTCATCATTTTGTAGGTAACTTGCACACTTTATTTTCACTCCTCAAAACATTTTTGACGGTAGCTTTGAAAATGGTTGGCTCCGAATTGAGTTCATGCCAGTTTGAATACTTGCTATTGGAGATCACATAAACACTGGTGAAATATTTTGGTTTTTCATATTGGGCACATCTTGCCTAACATGGGCATTGATGAGGGTTTTTTAACTGCAGTGGTATTTTAGAATTCTCATTGTAAATAAACAGATTGCTGTGTCTGAAGCACTGAACAAAGCTGTACAAAAGGCAATGCCAGACTGAGGACTTCATTCACTGAAATTAGGTACTCGGTGGAACTTAGTTCTGAGTTAAGGGTAGTGGATGGTGCTGTGGTCTAAATCACTAAGCCTCTTGGGCTTGCTGATCGGAAGGTCAGTGGTTCGAATGTGCGCAGTGGGGAGAGCTACTGTTGCTCTGTCCCAGCTCCTGCCAACCTAGCAGTTCACAAGCATACCAATGTGAGTAGATAAATAGGTACAGCTGTGGAAGAAAGGTAAACAACATTTCCAATCTCTCTGGCACTTGTCAGAAGCAATTTAGTCCTGCTGGCCACATGACCTGGAAAGCTGTGTGTGGACAAACGCCAGCTCCCTCGGCCTGAAGTGAGATAACCATCCAGGGGTCCTTTACCTTTATAGTTTAGGCTATGGGTATTTTTTAAAAGTAGTAGTATGGATAGATTATTGCTACTACTGATAGGGAAGTTCAAGAAAATAATTAAATGTTCTAGATATGTGTTTAATTGTTATTCTCATAATTGGCCTCCAGCTAAAACTGAAAGAAAGCCTGAGGGCTATTTGAGACATAACACACTGACAAACACACAAGTGTCTAAGTATGTTCTAGATTCTGGTAGGTAGCCGTGTTGGTCTGACAGTCGAAATGTGTGTGTGTGTGTGTGAGTGTGTATGTATGTATATGTTAAAAAAATGTCCAGTAGCACCTTAGAGACCAGCTAAGTTTGTTCTTGGTATAAGCTTTTGTGTGCATGCACATTTCTTCAGATACTCTGAAACAGAAGTCACCAGACCCTTATACAGTGGTACCTCAGGTTACATATGCTTCAGGTTACATACGCTTCAGGTTACAGACTCCGCTAACCCAGAAATAGTGCTTCAGGTTAAGAACTTTGCTTCAGGATGAGAACAGAAATCATGTTCCAGCGGTGCGGCGGAAGCAGGAGGCCCCATTAGCTAAAGTGGTGCTTCAGGTTAAGAACAGCTTCAGGTTAAGAACGGACCTCTGGAACGAATTAAGTACTTAACCCGAGGTACCACTGTATATAGTGGGAGGGTGGGGTGGGGTTTTTCTCAGGAGGGTAGTAGGAGATGGGTGATTGACTCAATGGGTATGGTCTAAGTGTGTGTAAGTGCAAGGAGGGGCACATGGACAATAATTGCCTTAATCAGGGGAGGGGAATCTAGCCCTTCAGGTGATGCTAAACTACAACTCCCATCATTCCTGGGGTGATGGCTGGGGCTGATGAGAATTGTTTAGAAACATCTGGAGAGCTGCAGGTTGCCACCTCTGGCCTAACCCTCAAACTGAATCCATTTCCCCATGTGCTTTACTTGTAGTCAGGCTTGCTTCTGTTACCGTAAGCCACCCAAGGGGAAAATGGGGAGCGGGCAGGTAAGATTTGAATAGGGAAGTTGTAAGTGGTGAGAAGATTGCCCCTCACATGTGCACACATTTGTTATAAAACAGGACTCACAGACATCTGTATCATCATCATATATTTATATATCCTGTTCTTCTGTTGATGTACTCACATAACCTAATAGCACAATTAAAAGAAAGTCCAATAATAGAAATAAGTACTTAAACAAAAACAATATTACACATGCTTTGTACATATTGGAGACTGATTTGGATTTAAACATACTGCTACGCTTCCACTACAACAGTGAGAAAAAGGGACATTTAGGGGCAAAACTGAGAGTAGTTCATGCATGAATGTGCATTGATTCATCACAGCAGAACATAAGAACTGTCACAGTGTAAAAAGGATTTTGTATGAGATGATATTAAAGCTATTCCTTCGGTCTGTGATTGATACTCTGCACATGGAAGCCATTGTTTGATGTTGCCTAATGGGACAGACTTAACCACCTAGCAGTCTTCTTTGCATGGTAGATGAACAGATGAGCATACTCCTTCAGTGCACCATATAGTAATGTATGAGGCTGTACCTGCGTACACCTGATTTGCATCTGGGTTCTTCCATTTGAGGTGAGATAACTGCACCCAGGCCTCCACACATCACCTTAAGTGTGTAATACAGAGTTATGCAATGCTCACTTACTCTTCTACCAACCATAGAGGATAGCTGGCCAGAGAAATGTGTCTGATGGCATATATGGGTATCACACAAGTCAAGAGCCCATTTGGGGGGCCTATGATTGGCTACAACTACCTGTTAAATGCATTTTTGGTGGTAAACCTAGGTTTATCTCTGTATATGTGTGTGGCAATCACACAGGGTCCCTGGGCATTTGACGGTCTATTGATCCCTGTGCCACCACTGTGATTGCTTCCCCACTGCCACCAACCCGTTTCTCTTGGGTACACGCGGAGTCCAGACAGTTGTTATCCCACCTCTGCCACCACTTTTGTGGCGATCACGCAGGGTCCCCTGACGTTTGACAGTCTATTGACCCTGTGCCACCACTATGATTGCTTCCTCGCTGCCACCAACCCGTTTCTCTCAGGTACACATCGAGTCCAGACAGTTGTTAACATTAAAACAAATAATCAAGTTTATTTTATAAGCATGAACAAGTTTATGGTTTCAGATAATTTTTCTTGTCAGTTTCTTATCCTTAGTTTCTATACCGGCCTATACCTTCCTAATAACTTCTAACTGATTATCCCAACTGTCTATCTGACTCATCCTAACAGTTTCACTCACTCTCTCACATCAAAACTAGACCAACCCACAGACTTATCCTCCATCTTCCTTCTCCAACTCCCAACTGACTTCCCAACAACTCCAATTCTTAACTTCTCCCCTTGGGTTCCCACTGGCCAATCACTTCACACTCATTTAACCCTTTCCTTATGACCCAGCTAGGAGGGCAAGCGCCACAATGTGGAACATCCCTTATACTGCCTTCATTAATCCTCATTAAACGGCCTTAATTCAAGCACTAACTTGCTGGTATTTCTTTCAGCTCCTTAGGATGACAATAGCTAAACAAAGACTCGGAGATGAGGAGGTTGGGGCACGCCACTTCGCACCACATGAACGTGAAGACCTGGTCCAGCAATTGGAGAAAGCACGAGAACAAGTACTTACCAATGAGCATGGCTTATAATTGTACATCTATTCCTTACTGCCAGAATATATTTTTGGGTCTTGAGTTGTTTGTAGGGCAGAAGTAAAAACATATAAAGAGACCTGCTGTATCAGGCCAGACATCACCTCATCTGACATCCAATTACCTTCAGCATTTAGTTGGATGCTACCCAGAAGCCCACAAGCAAAGCATAAAATCCAAATTCCTCTCCAAATTCCTAAGGAAATTTGTCTAGTTCCTTTCTAATGGCCATTGCTACACCTGGGCTTTGAATTTCATAAATAAATGTGAAGAAGTATTTCCTTTTGGGACATAATCCAGTTTTAATAGTTAAAAGGGTTTGGGGGTAAAATGCTGCCTAAATTCCCTTCCTGCCTATTGCTACTCCTTAGCTTCCTCCTTTGCCTCAGCCAGACTCCCTACCATAAGGAGAGATGTAATTTGGTTATTAGGGACGCGGGTGGCGCTGTAGGTTGAACCAGAGAGCCTAGGGCTTGCTAGTCAGGAGGTCGGCGGTTCGAATCCCTGTGATGGGCTGAGCTCCTGTTGCTCGGTCCCTGCTCCTGCCAACCTAGCAGTTCAAAAGCACGAAGTGCAGGTAGATAAATAGGTACCGCTCCGGCGGGAAGGTAAACGGTGTTTCCGTGCGCTGCTCTGGTTCGCCAGAAGTGGCTTAGTCCTGCTGGCCACATGACCCGGAAGCTGTACACCGGCTCCCTTGGCCAATTAAGTGAGATGAGCACCGCAACCCCAGAGTTGTCCGCGACTGGACCTAAAGGTCAGGGGTCCCTTTACCTTTGATTTGGTTATTAACTTCTCTTTTTTAAAGGTTTGCTTGCAGAAACAGGTTACAGTGGTGCCCCGCAAGACGAACGCCTCGCAAGACGGAAAACCCGCTAGACGAAAGGGTTTTCCATTTTGGAGGCGCTTCGCAAAACGAATTTCCCTATGGGCTTCCTTCGCAAGACGAAAGCCCATAGGGAAATCTCTGGGACAGCAGGGAAGCGCAGCGCGTCTTCCCCACTGTCCTCGGACCTCCTCCGAAGCCTGGCGGCGGGAGGAGGTCTCTCCGCCCCCCCCCCCGCTAGGCTTCGGAAGGCTGCTCCGAAGCCAGGCGGCGGGAGGAGGTCTCTCCGCCCCTCCGCCAGGCTTCGGAAGGCTGGCGGGGGGGCGGAGAGGTTTTTTAAAAACCCCGGGACAGCGGAGGACTTCTCCGCTGTCCGGGGCGATCTTAAAATGCTGGCGGGCGGGAGCGAAGCCTTCGCTGCCGCCTGCCAGCATTTTAAAATCGCCCCGGACAGCGGAGAAGTCCCCCGCTGTCCTGGGTTTTTTTAAAATGCTGGGGGTGGGAAGAAAAGCCCCCCCAGCCTTCAGAAGAGGTCAGGGGACAGACTGTCCCCGGACCTGGTCTGAAGGCGGTTTCCATAGGAACACATTGATTGATTTTCAATGCATTCCTATGGAAAACCGTGCTTCGCAAGACGAAAAAATCGCAAGACGACAAAACTTGCGGAACGAATTAATTTCGTCTTGCGAGGCACCACTGTATTTTGCACATAGGTTAATATAATATTCAACAGACTACAGTGATGCATTTGAGTTTTGGTTTTTTGTCAGATTGAGACTCTGCAACATGATCTTCAAGCAGCATTGGATGAACTACAGGATGTAAAAGAGGAGCGCTCTTCTTACCAAGATAAGTCTGACAGATTAAACCAGGAGCTTAACCATGTTCTTGGAGGACATGTAAACCGCATTATCGATATTGATGCTCTTTGTATGGAGAACAGGTGAGTTTGTTTAGAAATTGTTATAACTTATCGGGAGAATGGGCCACATAGCATTCACAAGGGTCACCTCAAAAATTAAGTCATTGCTAGTATTTTGCAGTTCTCAATTTTAGTTTAAAAGCAATAAGATACTCCAGAAGACTTTGGAGCCAATTTTTTAAAAAAATAAAGCCAGTAACATAACATCAAGTATAAGAAGCTGTTAAATACTATCACTATTTCTTAAAAAGCCCCACCCAGCTGTTTAATTACAGTGGTACCTCAGGTTAAGTACTTAATTCGTTCCAGAGGTCCGTACTTAACCTGAAACTGTTCTTAACCTGAAGCACCACTTTAGCTAATGGGGCCTCCTGCTGCTGCCGTGCCGCCGGAGCACGATTTCTGTTCTCATCCTGAAGCAAAGTTCTTAACCTGAAGTACTATTTCTGGGTTAGCGGAGTCTGTAACCTGAAGCGTATGTAACCCGAGGTACCACTGTATGTGGAAAAGGTATTTGATAGAATAGTGTGGCAATACTTTCAGGTTCTACAATACGGAGTTAGGCGCGAAGTTTATCTCAAGGATTAAATTGATTGTCACTAATCTGACTCCTTCAATTTGGGTCAATAAAACAAGGCTACAGAAATACAGACTCCAGTGAGGTACCGGACAGAGTTGTCCACTGTCACCAATTTTATTCAACATTAAATTTTAAGGGGTGGGGCTAGCTTGTGGCAAGACCATCATGAACTGAGCCAGGACTCTGGTGGGCTTGTTTTATAATGGGCTTAGCAAGGGATGGGTGAATCCTTCAGTTCACCATTGCAGCTTGAGTCCCCTCATTTTTTGAGCTGCTAATTTGTTCCAAGTTCAAGATGTTGCTTTTAGCGCATAAAACTTTTTAAAGCTTGCAGCCAGGTTACTTGAATGATGACCTTCCCCCATGTATGTCCATTTGACTTCTTCACTCTGCAGAAGTGGCACATTTACAAGTGCCACACAATGTCCGCTCTGCGCTTAGAAGGAATTGATCCTACACTCTGGAATTCCCTCCCCATTGATACTGTGCCCTGTATTGTTTCCTGTGTCTGCTGAAAAACATTTTTAGGCAAGCCTACCCATCTGTGTAAACTTGACATATACTTGATCATGAGATTTTATTTTATTATGGTATTTTTTTAAGCTGCTGATTTTACTTACGCTTTGAAAATGTTTAGGTCAACTTGTTTTTAAAATTTGGGTTTATTGATATTTTTAATGTATATATATTTAATGTATATTTTTTGTAAACCACATTGAGATTGTTGATGCTTAACCAGTACATGAATCCTGCTAATTAATTAAATAAGCAAATTACAAACTTCAGCTCTTTCATGATCTCTGCATTACTTTCTGTTACCTTTTAAAATGGCTCAATGGATAAACAGCTTCATGAAAGTAATATAGTCTGTTTTCTGACTTTCCAGATATCTTCATGAGAGATTAAAGCAAATTCAAGAAGAGGTCAACATTCTCAAATCAAATATTGTAAAGTATAAGGTAGATTTTGTTTTTGTGATATAATATGCAATCAGTTTCATTCATGTGTTTGTGGTGTGCACCTGTACTTGTTTTCCGTCTTGTTACCCATTCAGAGAGTTGATTAGAAAGTAGATTAATTCATTCACAAAAATACAGAGTGCCACACCTTTTCTGTGTTAATAGAGACCTGCAGGGTGATTTTAGTACCTGTAATTGACCTATTTTCTTTTACATAAAGGTTTTCAACATTATACGTTCTGCTAGAATTGGAAGGCTTAATCACATACCCATAGTGATTAAAACATGTTTTATTTACTTGTTAGAAAAGATCTCAATTAGCTTTATCCCCCATGAGAATGCAATTGCTACAGAAGAAATTGCTGTAAAAGAATTCTGTACAATTCTTCAGCTGCCCAAATCTGTTTAGATTTTTTTCAACAATAAAATGATTTATCCATCATGTTCAGTTGAAAGTGACCATTAATATTGCTTTTGTATTCTGAAAATTACTCTTTTACTTATTGTTATTATTTAATTTATATGCCACTCTTCCTCCAAGGATCACAGGGTAGTTTACAATATAAAAACCCCAAAAATACTTTATATTGTGATATAGTGGGATATTTATTTTAGACTAATATCCAGGATGTCTGAAATCTTTTCCTATGTACCTCTGTTTTCTACTTAAGTTGGGTGTGAATATGTAGCAAAATAATCTTCCATTTGCCAAAACCTTACAGAAAACTTGGATGCTGTGTTAAGTTACTCTTTGCTGGTGGTTACATATTCACTAACAATTTTTAATAAATAAATAAATTTGGACAGTTTGAGGGACCAAAGTGTGATTTCTTAACCTCTCAGTCTAATCAAAAGTTACGTCGACATTTTCTACTAAAAAAAAACATTTTTTATATACTAAAACAAATTACCATTCTTTGATTGCTGTTTGTTTTAGAATGCACTAGAGAGGAGGAAAAATTCCAAGTCTCACAGCAAGTCAAATAGCAGTGCACTAACTGGAGTCCTTTCTGCTAAGCAAGGTACTGCATTGGTTTTTGTCTTGCCTTTTCTCTCCGAAAACTAAGAACTGCTATTCTGAGACTTCAGCAAAACAGCGAAGATTGTGTTCATGTATTCATGTTCTCGCTTTGAGATACTGCAATAACTTTGAGCAATACAATGAACACCCTCAAAAAGTCACCATTTCTGTGAGAGAAGCTAAGAACTGCTGTTCCGGGGCTTCAGTGAAAACAGATCAAGGGGTTGCAGTAATAATGAATAGAATTTGATTCTTTCCCCGCCCCCGATGTCTATTGATGTGTCATTTCCAGGCTTCTATCTCCATAAAACTAAGTCAGTATTTCTTTTGTTTTGATTTTTCCAGTCCAAGAGCTGTTATCAGAGGACCATGGATGCAGCCTGCCAGCCACACCACAGTCCATTTATGACCTTAAATCTTTGGCTACTGCTTTACTGGAGACAATCCATGAGAAAAACATGGTCATTCAGCATCAAAGGCAAACCAACAAGTAGGCACTTTCACAGAAACAGAGAATTGCAGAGTTGTAAGGGATCCTAAGGTTCATCTATTCCAGTCCCCTCTGCAATGCAAGAATATGCGGTTGTCCCATACGGGGTTCGAACTTTCAGTTGACTTAGTTCAAAATCTGTTTTGCATTTTGTTTTAAAGGCTTTTATCTTGGGGTATAGCGAAAACGCCAAACAATGTGAATGTGGGTGTGCATCTTTATGGAATTGTAAAAACGAAAGAAATTGTAGTTATTTTGCCGTTAAACCAGTACATCAGTTTTGAGAGATACATATTGCTGACATCACCAGCATTCTTAGCACCATCCATGCGCATGGTGCTTTGCAAAGCACAAGAAGACAGTTCTGCGCCCTAAGAAGCTTATGGTCTAAAATCCAACACAGAGAAACAGGAAGGACTCAGTGGCAGGGTTAATAAAGGAAAGAATATGCTGTTATAGTCGTATAATAATAATAATTTATTATTTATACCCCACCCATCTGGCTGAGTTTCCCCAGCCACTCTGGGTGGCTCCCAATCAAGTGTTATAAACAGTACAGCGTTAAATATTAAAAACTTCCCTGAACAGGGCTGCCTTCAGATGTCTTTTAAAGGTAGGATAGCTGCTTATTTCCTTCACATCTGAAGGGAGGGTGTTCCACAGGGTGGGCGCCACTACCGAGAAGGCCCTCTGTCTGGTTCCCTGTAACCTCACTTCTCGCAATGAGGGAACCGCCAGAAGGCCCTCGGCTCTGGATCGTACCTTGTTTTGCGACTGGGATCCGTTCCAGAGCCCTGGACGCTAGACGAAAAGGACGCACGACAAAGCGCCGCTCTGCACATGCACGAAGAGTGGTTTGTGCTTCTGCGCATGTGTGAGCAGCAAACCTGGAAGTATCCCTTCCGGTACTTCCAGGTTTGCTGCGGATGTTCGACAACATGGCTGCTCAATGAGGCAGACTCAAGACAAGGTACCACTGTATTTCAATGGAAGTGCTTAGGTTTCGCTACTGGCTAAGTCAGGCAGGATGCTAAAACTTAAGTGGCTCTGACGCAGCAGCATGGTTTCATAATATGTTACCAAAACCCTTGATGTTACATTTTTAAAGTTACTCACAACTCTGGCTTGATAAACACGAACGTGCATTCCTTCTTTAAGGTGTACTGTACAGTTCCATTAGCATTACAGAGATATTTTCTTTCAAAATATTGATTTTTTAAAAACGCTTTTCTTTCAAAATACACAATTTTTAAACTATAGGGGTTTGGTTTTTTACTCACGAGCTACATTGGAACAATTTAGGCAGTGTAAAATCAAGTTGCAGTGAGAAGTACACATTAGCACGAGACGTATAGATTAGGTCAGGGCACACTGGAATTCACAAAAAATGAATTCCTCAAAACATGCTTAATTACAGTCACTGGTAAATACATATTGCAATAATACTACATATTCCTTGTTACAGTAGTTAGTCAACTGCAGATTCCATAGGATTTGTTGATATGTAGACTGGATGTATGGTAACGAGATCAGTGGATTTGAGGCAAATATGCAGGAAGGCGTTCTGATTAATTATGAAGAAGTGAACCCTTTAATGTAGTCTGCAAATGTGGTGCAGAATACAAGCAAGTCCTGAGATTGTATACCCATTTCAGGAGTGGGTGGATTGCATGGGCATATCATATATATATTATTTCAAAATAATTTCTGATATATTGGAGACGTTTTAACCTGATGTAGAAAAAATATATGTATTTCACGTGAATTAATCTATACCATATGTTTAAATGTAAATTTGTGTATCACAAGCGGATGTTTTCTCTCACGACACTGAATATCACCTATCATTGGATATCACCCATCAAATATAAGCAGGGCACATGCCCATCCGTGGTGTTTTCCCTGCTTACTATACTTTTAATTACATTTCATTGAACATTTTATCTTCATTTCAGAATCTTAGGCAATCGTGTAGCAGAACTGGAGAAAAAGTTGAGGACTTTAGAAGTTTCTGGTTTGTGGAGTCTTCCAGGTAAGTCAGAATTCATAGTCGTACTTAATTTGGGGGTATCTGAACATAAGGACATTTTTAAATGTGTATTTCATAAGAAACCTGCTGTTTACATTAGAAAATGCATTGTTTTCCTCATTTGCTGCAGGGTTTTTTTTTTTAGTCTCTATAAGAAAAGTAATATGAAAATATTTTTACTGAATAAGAAATCTTTGTTTTCTTTCACACATAACAGTTAGATTTTTCTGAAATGGAAGCATTTTAAAGGTTCTTTGACAACATAATTAATGATGTGTTACATTTGTCAATCACATCTTGCCACATAATTTTTCTGACGTAGGCTAGTCAGACTTAAGGAGAAAAACTACCTGGGAATGCCACCAGGAGATTGCCTGTGATTTCTCTCTCTATGTGAAAACTTTGTCCTTCCAATAAAAGCTTTCCAGGGATAAGGGCCCTTTTGACACAGAAGCCTTCAAACATGCAATTCCTGTAGTAGTTTAGTTTCAGGAGAGCTGGGAGTTAGGATTTATTTTAATTTCTTTACCATGCAGATGTGCCTAAAGCATAGTAAGAACATGGGAAATGAAAGCTAAAACGATTCTAACAATGCAGTCCCTATCCATGTGCATTTAGAACTGAATCTCACTGGGTTGTGATGCTCAATGTAGAGCCATTGTAATCAGTAGGCTTTTTTCACTGAAGTCCATTGATTGCAGTGGCTCTGCTCTGAGGGCGATTTGGTTGGACAAAGTCCATTGAGTTCAGTGAGACTTAACTCCCCAGCAAGTATTTACAGACAGCAACCATTTGCGTGTCTGTCGACACACAGGTCCTTTTGGACCCGGAAGAGAGCAGAACGGGCCAAGTGTAACAGGGTGAGGTGGCTTATAGGCTCTCCACCGACTAGGCCTGTGCAATGTATTGATACAACACCCGGGACCAGTATGAGGGGCAGACTGCGATGGCAGCTTTAAAACAGGTAAAGGGACCCCTGACCGTTAGGTCCAGTCATGGCCGACTCTGGGGTTGCGGCGCTCATCTCGCTTTATTGGCCGAGGGAGCTGGCGTGCAGCTTCCGGGTCATGTGGCCAGCATGACAAAGCCGCTTCTGGCGAACCAGAGCAGCGCACGGAAACGCCGTTTACCTTCCCACTGGAGCGGTACCTATTTATCTACTTGCACTTTGACGTGCTTTTGAACTGCTAGGTGGGCAGGAGCAGGGACTGAGCAACGGAAGCTCACCCCGTCGCGGGGATTCGAACCGCCTACCTTCTGATCGGCAAGTCCTAGGCTCTGTGGTTTAACCCACAGCGCCACCCGCGTCCCGGCAATATATTGCTGATGAAACCAACACCACTTCTGACTCCCTCTGTGATCAGCGCCGCTTTCAACATCAAGCTTCTAGCAGCAGAGGGACCGTAGCAGCAACGGTTTCACCCACGATATACTGCCAGGTGAAGCTGCCATTGCAATCTGCCCCTCATACCGTAGAGGGAGGAGCAAGCTGTATTGCTTACCCCCCCAGGTGAGCAAGCCTTTATGCCTTGCATGCAAGAATGAGAGGCATGCAGCTCACTCAGCTGGGGGGCAGGAATAATAATAATAATAATAATAATAATAATAATAATAATAATAATAATAATAATAATAATTTTATACCCCGCCCTCCCCAGCTAAGACCGGGCTCAGGGTGGCTAACCCCAGGTATAAAACAATTGATTAAAATACAACTTAAAAACAAGATTAAAATAGAACATTAAAAGGCAGCCTCATTTCAGTAGAAACTCAAATCAAGAACAGTGGAAAGCTCAGCTGGGGGGCGGGGGCAGGACCCTTCCTGCTCCCCACCTGAGCCACACAAAGAAGCTGCACTGTTCCCAGCCCACGAGACATTGGGGTGAAAGCACCTCAGCCCCCCCCCAGTGAGAACTGAGAGAGTTTTCACCCTGCACCTTGCGTGCTGCGGCCAATGCAACTTGTTCTTTTAACATTGTGGTGTATCCCCAAATCCCAATGTATGGCTGGCGATAAATCGCGACGTGATTGAAAACCTGGCATAGCCCAGCCCTACCGCTGACATGCACAGGGGCCAGGAATGGAATCCCCACACAAAATGGTCGCTGCCTATATAGGATTGCAGCTTAAATCTATTATTTTAAAAGATACATTTCAATAGCACAATTGAAGTTTTATTAATAAAATTTGGTGTCCACCCCCCATATTATAATTTTATTCTACTTCAAACATATTCCTGAAATTCGCTTTACAAATTGTGCCTTCTTGTTAGGACAATGTATTTGCTATGCAGATCAACACTTTTAATTTTTATTCTGTTACAATCTGGAGAGTGCGACATTGGCTGCCTCTATTATAGTCAGTATAGGCTGCAGAATGTATATTGTTCATGGCACAGACTTTTTGATAAACTTTGCTGCATAGTATGCACATCCTTGAGAATTGTCGTGTCTATGGAGGACATCAGCATTTTGAGGAATGAAGTGAGCTGTGCTTAGTTCACATGACGGAACAGTTAACAAACAGTTAATGGCTATGCTGAATGTTTGACTCTTGATTTTCAGCACAAAAGCAATGTTGGCTATGTGTGTGCAAATTTCTCCTTGGAAAGATCACACATAATCATTCACCTTTTGTGTTCGTAGCTCTTTTCTCTGGTCAGCTACAGGTTCAGTCCATTTCTTTTAAAAAAAAGAAAAACAATTTTTTTAGCATGACCCCAACCCACAGGGAACATATAGAAGATGTGATAACATAACTCTATGTGCTTATCTCAGTGACAAAAGAAGGGCATTTAGAGTGAGGTCAAGTCCTTCCTGGCCTGGTCAGATAGCGATCTCAAACTGGCTGATCACAACTTCCCTCTATCGAGTTCATCACCATGATGGTTGTCAAGCATAAATAATGAATGGTCTAGAAATTTGCTTATGCACTATCTCAGTGGACCTCAGAATCAAGAGCCTTGCTGTAATTGCCTATTGGTTGACTATGTAAGAACACTCAAATTGATGGAATAGGGCATATAATGTAGCTATAATAAGGTATATAAAATATTATCAGTGTGGAACTGCTGAACTTTTCAGCCTGGAAACTATTGAAACTGACATTTTTCTCCAAGAAAATGCTTTCACTAAACTAGACTCTTTTCATAACTCCTGAAACAGTTTTCTCTGCCTTTATGGTATTTAATATCAAAAGTTAGCATATGACTAAGAATATCTTACCTAGCATATTTATTGCATGCCTAAATGCATTTTGTTTTGTCCCTGGTCTATTCAGAAGCCCTGACATCCATAAATCCCATTCTGCCGCTTGCTTTCATAAATCCAAAAAAAAATGAATATTTAGATGAGGTTGAGAAATGCAGATCCAGTAAACGAATTTTGTTTTACTGGACTGACTGGTTGGTATCACTTCTGAACTATGTCCTCTCTTCTGCAAGCATAGAAGCTCAGAGCAGGAGTAAGATTAAAATTAGGTGTTAGCCTCCCCATCGTTAATTTGATGTGTGTTCAGTCGCTTAGAGGAAAGAAAGCAGGAAGCCATAGCAATCCTAAGCAACCTTACCCTGGAACTCAGTGATAGGGCTAGCAGTGGCACACAGCATGCAGTAGCTTGTCAGGCCACATGTACCTTGGCAGGACTCAGCAGTGCTGCTTTCAACCCTACCAGCCCATTCAGTCTCCTGGCTATGAGTTTACCTGGTAGCTGTGGTAATGCTTCTAGTTCAGGGGTTGGCAAGGTTTACCTCACCTGGGCCGGTTCACTCCAGCGGAGATCCCTCTGCGGGCTGGATCGTGCGCGTGCCTAAGTGCACACGCACACAAATTTCTGAATCTGCGCAGACGTGATTTTCAGCATCTGTACATGCGCAGACGTGATTTCCTGTGCCACGGAAGTGAGGCACCACACTGTGCCAGTTTAGTGCGGTCTGTGGGGACTCGCCGAGCGGGCTGCTTGGTTCAGGGGCAGCTCGTGTGCTGGTTAAACGACCCCCTTGAGCCGCTTGTGGCCCATGGGCCTTAGGTTGCCTACCCCTGCTCTAGTTTCCCACCTGCCATTTCCCACAGTGCCCTGGTGGGGAATATTTTTAGCCTGGTGGACTAGATCGCTTATCTTCCCTGCCTCACCGACAAGTGGGTGGGGCCAGCCACCTGTCAAGCATCTGTTGTCATATTGACATTGGGCGATTGATAGGTGGGGGGGTCCCATCCACCCGACAAAGCTGGACTGCTGGAGTAGAGAGGTGATAACTACATAAAGCAGCATTGAACTTCCCACACACCAGCTGATGCACAGTGAGTTCAGTCCCGATTTATGCAGGATTCAGGCAGCTAATTGCAGCTACTGGATATGTACCCATAGCAAGCAGGATTGAATTGTAGTCTTCTATGTGCATCTAGGATACTGTTCCTGCTGCTGCTTTTTTAAAAAAGGGAAAGAAACAACAGCCAGCAACCCCAAAACATAAATTCAGACCACACTCACACCTATGATCTTCTCCTGAAGACTGAAATATAGAGACCAGGAAATTTATATACCCCACGTGATCATTTTGAGTATATATTTCTGCTCTTAATTCTACTCCACTTGCTTTAGTTAATTCTTTTCTGCTTCTATACTTCATTTTATAATTGATTACAGGGGACATAATCTCCCTTCAGTAAACCAGAGTGCCACTCCTCCAGATAGCTTCATCTTTGTTAATAAACTCCATGTTTCCCTTTCTGTAGATTACAGCCCAGGTCTTCCTGGTGCAAGCTCCTACAGGCCTTGTGAAATTGCATTTTCCTTGCAGCCAGGGTCTGGTTCCTTGCCTCCTACACTATCCATACTCTTGTTTCTGTTGCAAGAGTGCCGGATTGAACTTTGTGCATTGATTGAGGCTTCCAACTAAGCTAATGAGTGTGAAGTTGTGCTCACATTAGTGAGAACCCCTTCTTGGACGCTTGAGATTGGGATCAGGGCAATGGCAGCCTTGCAATCAGGGCTGTACTTTGACTCAGTTCTAATGGTCACTCCTGCTTCCCCCTTTCTCTGCCCCAAGGCCAACGAAGTTAACCTGGGCTCCTCTGGGGGAAGGCAGGGTGCAAATTTAGACATAACAACAACAACAGGTCAGGACAGGGGAACACAGAACTTCTCGGTGACCCCAGCAGATCATCCCTTCTTGCTGTGGACCAAGACTACATCCCAGAATCTTCAGCTGAAAACTGACACTGTGTTTTCATTTCCTTTGGAGTCTTAGCCTTGTTGAGAATGGCACACATGGCATCAGTTTCCTCCTGAGGATTCTGGGATTTGTAGTTGAAATCTCTGGCCAGGAAAAAAATGTCCTGTACGGACTTTGTGAGAGCACACCACCACTTTTGCCACCCCTCCCACACGGTAACTTACTAGGTTGGTTTTGATTATATACCTTCCTCTGACCCCTCTGATTCTGCCCAGACCGATGCCTGTTTTGATACATGTTTGAACCCGTGTGTATTTTGATCTGCACAGCTGCTTCCTGGCCTACTTGGTCTGCTAGCTAGCTCACTCCAGAACCTGTCTTCCTGAAGCTTGACCTTTTCCATGGCCCAACACTATTGTTCCTTGAATCTTGGTTAAGATCCCAAACATGGATTGAAACCAAATTGAGCTTGCTCACACATGCCCTGTTCCCAGTGTATGTGTATCTTTCAAGCAAAAATGCCTTAACCATGGTTTGCTTGGTAGAGGTACAACACTTAAACATGGTGACTGCAGAGCATGGTATGCAGATCCATCTCAAACCATAGTTTTGCATCTTGGCTTGTAGTCAATTGCTGCTCACACTCTAGGGTTTGGTCTTCTGTTTCAAGTAGCCCATAATCCACTAAATAAAGTGTTTTGGCCTTTAAAACAGAACACTAGCAAAAGACAGACGATGATTTTAGAATACCTTTGTTCTATTATTTCTGTTTAGGCATCAAATTAATATTTATATAATAACTTTTCTTTCCTTCCTTTTTTCCTTGCTGCCTGAAGGCCTGAGCTACAATGTCTCAGTGGGATTTGGGAGTAGGTTCTGTTTGACATATGTATTTTTAGTAACTAATCTTAGCGGTGCATTAAATATTGTCACTGCATGTAAATAAATGGAAATGTTATCTGAATGTTTTTCTATATCTGTCAGATTAAGATGTTCAACCGAGTAAGTTAGATGGCCACAAGAGAAATACAGAACACTGTAAAATTATTTTTAATTGGGGGAAATGGTAATAAGGAAGGATACGAGCTAGTTCTGAATATAATCACGGGTTGTGCAAAACGATGTGATTTTGTAGCTTTTTTTTAAAAAAATAAAAATGACAAGCAGTAAGTCGAAACAATTTCCCCCCCTTTAACTTAGCAATTATGAGTATGGATATCACCCAGTGTTGCTACTTACATTTTAATTCCGTGAGTGTTGCTATCTGGTTTACACATTCCAGATCCAAGCATCATGGAACACAAAGATGCTGATGGTAAATGGAGAAAGCAGACATGCCAAACCCATTCAGGGTTTCTACATCCTCACGCATTGAAGGACAGCAGGGATGGTAGAGAACAAGCTTTGCATGTAGAAAGTTCCAAGATTTATCCCTCGCACCCCCAATTAAATAACCAGAGTAGATAGACCAATATAGTACACATTTTTAATGTACACATTTTTTTAGTAGGAGCATTGCAAAATTTCTATAGGGAAGGTGGCAAAGTCGCCCTTTTGGGGATGCCGTTTTTGACAGTATCCCTGTGACAAGAACTTAATGTACAACAGATCATAGCAAAGATGAGATAAGAGGAACCTAATTTAATTAATACTTGAGTTAAAATGTTTCTTACTTTAGCTATTCAAAATACTGGTTCAGATATTTGGAGTGTGACACATGCTAAGCAAGTATGTAGATAAAAACAAAAAGTCTCCTTTTATCCAAGCGTTTGAATCAAGCCAATTTAACTTTTTTTTTTTTTTTTAGATTCATGAGTTGGTTCCTGCTTTCCTCTTTCATTTGTTAGATCTTTAATTTTAATTAGGACCAGATTCTTGTATGTTCCTCCATCCAGTCTTGTAAAGGAAATGTGATATGTAAGGTAAAGAAACACCTAACCGTTAGGTCCAGTTGCGGATGACTCTGGAGTTGCGCGCTCATCTCGCTTTACTGGCCGAGGGAGCCAGCGTACAGCTTCCGGGTCATGTGGCCAGCATGACTAAGCCGCTTCTGGCGAACCAGAGCAGTGCATGGAAACGCCATTTACCTTCCCTCCGGAGCGGTACCTATTATCTACTTGCACTTTGACGTGCTTTCGAACTGCTAGATGGACAGGAGCTAGGACCGAGCAACAGGAGCTCACCCCATCACAGGAATTTGAACCGCAGACCTTCTGATCAGCAAGCCCTAGGCTCAGTGTTTTAGACCACAGCGCCACCCGCGTCCCATATAATGTGTTACGTAGTAAGGCTGAAAAACCTCATTGTTAGTCTTTGGAGACCAGGATTAACACCTTCCCTTCAGCGTCCCCACCCCCTACATGCATAGGGAATTTCCCTCTAGATTTCTGAAGAAGTTACCAAACTATGTTTCCATGCACTAAACCACACAAAATAGACGCACATAATGAACGAGGCAGCAGAAAAGTAAAGGTGCTCAGTCGTCCACTCTCATTTTGAGGTGATAAATGAGAAACCTGTATGACTCTACACCATGCCAACATTGCCCCACTTTCAGGAAGGGGTGACACTTGCCCAGGAAGAACCCTGGTATAGCAGCAGCCCCCCCCCCCGCCCGCCTCTACTGGAGTCAGTAAACATTGGTGGAGAGAGAGCATAATGCATTGTCAGGCAATAGCTGTCCCTAGAATACCTTCGGGGTCACTGTTTTAATACAGAAACAGTAGTATAGCTATTCTGAGGGACTAGCTACGTGTTGCATGCAAACACATGAAACAGAGATGGTGCACTTTGTTCCCTTAAAAAAAAGAAAAAAGTAGCTTCCACAGAGGAATATATATATAAAAACACTTTTGTCCTCCTAGTACAGTATCATGGTTAGAGGCATATGGAAGCAGGTTTTTTTTTTAATGGTTTAAATCAGGGGTCAGCAAACTTTTTCAGCAGGGGGCCGGTCCACTGTCCCTCAGACCTTGTGGGGGGCTGGACTATATTTTGAAGGGGGGGAAATTAACGAATTCCTATGCCCCACATAGGTTATAATGCAACCCAGAGATGCATTATAAATAAAAGGACACATTCTACTCATGTAAAAACTCGCTGATTCCCGGACCGTCCGCAGGCCGGATTTAGAAGGTGATTGGGCTGGATCCGGCCCCCGGGCCTTAGTTTGCCTACCCATGGTTTAAATGGTGCAGTAACATTTTAAAAAGTAAAACTGAATGTCAATTTTGGAGGGTCTTGGCAGGCTACAAAAAGACCCTTGACCCATCTGCCCCAGCTGTATAGGCATTTGCTTGTTTCTCTATTAGAAGGCTTGGGAATGAAGGCTTTGGAATGAAACGAGCTGATTTTTAAGAGGGCAAGTCCAATACAGACTTAATGAAGGACTCATTCAGAATGCTCCAAGATAAAAGCAGAAGAAAACAAATTTTAGTTTTAGAAATCATGGCCTGCAAAAGCAAAAGTCAAACATTCCTACAAAAAATAAGGAGTTAAAAAGGTCCAAGTAATGCTGTAATAAGAATTTCTCATTAATTAGACAGTGGATCTAAATAAATAGGTGGTAGCAGTAAAGTAACAACACTGTACTCTTACAGCACCATTATCTCAGTAATCTCTTCAACAACCCAGAAAATCCATTATTACCTAAGCCCACCCAGCGAGTTCAAAGGTGATATGATATTTGTACTTGAAATCCATAGCATATGCTGTTCCCCATCCACACTCCACCCCTAGCTTGAATTTGCTAATCTATATTGCAGTTGTCAGATATCCATCGTCCATTAAAATGATTTTTATAAATCCTGATAATATCTAGTATATTTCACCTAAGATGCTTGTATTAGTAGGTGCTGTGGTAGAAATTTCCCAAAACGCTCTTGCAATATATTCTTACACAGATTGGTATCTTATTCTAATCTTCTGTAAATGCAAGTCTGGTTTTTCAGGCCTCTTCTGATAAACCAGCTTGTGCTCATTGGTTTGCTTTTTCAAAGTAGCCCCCTGGCTGAATACCCATTGAAATATGCCCAGTGGAGGTATACCCAGATTACTCTTCCTGTCTAAATCTTGCCTATTACCGCTTTTTCCTTTCCGTAAGGCTACATTTTTGTCCAGTTCCCTCCCCCCACCCCATATGAACTATACACAAGCGCCTCAAGATGTGTAAATCATAGGTAGGTCAAAATAGGAGCAACCTCAAAGCAGTAGCTTTAATTGTCACAGGAATAATGCTTTTGCACCAGTTTCCTGTTTAAAATGGGCCCTGTATATTGGAAATTCAGCAGTTCCAGGATGGTTGTAAGAAAAGGATCCTAGATATATGTTTGCGTGCATTTGTACATATGTGCATGAATTCCTGTCCATGGATCTGACTTCAAAAAACATTCGTTTTTCTGGAAAGCCATTTCTCTCTTCCTCTTCTGGCATTCCATAGACATGGTAAGTAAACACGTGGGAGAGAGGCATTGAATGAGCATGTTAACACCATTCTGATCAACCTCCAACTCAAGGAGGAACTCAGTGGGAGGAACTTCCTGTTTCTAATGGAGGTTCCCTGCGTGCTTTAGAAACCTGGAGAATCAGAGCAGCAACTGAGAAGCAGAACTTGTGTGTTTGTTCTCATTCCCTACCCCCATGTTTACTTATCATGTAGGTTGAATGCCTGAAGAGGAATTTTGTGAACCTCAGGTATAAACAGAAATATCATCTGTATTAGTATTACTCTTTACACTGAAGATACTTCCATAATTTCTGATAGGGTTGGATTGCAGTTGAACGCATCTAGCTTGTGATTTATTTCTTTAAATTATTGTCAGATGAGGAATCTTTTAACCAGATGTGCTCATTCAAAATGGTCTCATTGGGTTTAATGCAGTTGAACTGTAGTACATATTTTGGCTCATAGCACAGCTTTTCCTTTTCTATAGAGATACTGAAATATGCCTGTTGGGTGTACACGACGTGTTTATTTAAATGTAGCCTCACTGTTTAAAACATTGCATTAGTAAATTTCTCATTTGTGTTGGAGAGTTCATGTTACCATGCCCTTTTACTCGCAGGTGGCAAGGATACCATTACATTCAGTGACCCCGCTATGCCTATTATCCAGAGGTCTCGATCACCATTGCTATCTTTCGGAGATAAGCCACAGCAGAAGACAGAAGGTAAGCATCTGGAGTCATAACAAAAGGCTGGCGTAGAGCGATTCGACTCTTGTGCCACCGAGTTTGAAGGTGTAGGGGGAAATAAGGATGAAGCTGTTTAGAGATACCTGCATTGTCTCATTTTTGCACCACCAGAATAGCATGGGAAACAAGCCCATGGCCACGGGACAGGAAACAATACTCAGTGGTGGCTGGTGAGGCAGCAGTGTGTGTGTGTGTGTGTGTGTGTGTGTGTCTGTCACTCTCCTGGCTCATAGCTGTCAAGTGTCCCTTATTTGGCGGGACAGTCCCTTATCCCAGCGCCATGTCCCGCTGCTGTCCCTTATTGATGAGGCTTCATTTGGCTGCTGGCTGGGCTTTCTAGCCTTTGGCTCAGAGGGGCTCAGAAGTTGAACATACATGTGCCTGCAAAATCCTTTATTTTGGCTGCTGATCCCTTATTTTCGAGGCTGCTGGTCCCTTATTTTCAAATCTGTAAGTTCACAGCTATGTCCTGGCTTCCAACACCATGGGTCACTGCCACCTACCAAGAGGGTGAGATATGGTGCAGCATTCCAGCTCCTGTCACCATGCACCACAGTGAACTTCCCAAACTTTGCCCCTCTCTGTAAGCAGCAGCGAGTCACTGTGTTGGGAAGATGGGAGAGCAACAGAGTGTCGGGATCTCTGCTCGGCCAAGCTGATAAAGCTCATTTTCTTCCCCCGAGTCCTTCGGAATCGCCTCCTGACGTGTTTAACGACCTGAGCCTTTGATAAGGCCTCAGGCACATTCTTCAGCAGAGTTTCCAGCACAGGAAAGAGGAGAGGATTGGGCTACATTGCAAAGAGTTTTATTTCTAAGCTACGCAGACAGAAAAGACATCCTCTCTCTATGAAAGCAGAGAGCAACTGAACAAAGGAACAGGAAACCACTAACGTCACATTCCGTCTCCTCTCCCGTGAGACTTCCAACAGCCTGGAAGTTCTCTGGAATGTAAACAGAGCCTTGTGACTCCAAGCAGCGGCACAGTGATAAGAACAGAAACTAACACAGAGTGCCTAATTTTTGCACGATCCAATCCAGAATTTGGGTGATCACTTGCAAGAGCAGGAACTGCAGAACAGACTCCTCCTATGCGGGTTGGGGCTTTTCATGTTGCTCTTGACGTAGCCGTGCTGTAGTAATTCGCCTGCTGCCACTGCGGTGTAAAGAGACCGCATTCTGCACAATGGCATGGCGGTCTGGAAGGGGTAGAATTCTGAGTCATGCTGCTTTAGCCCAGAGGCAGGACGTCACTTCAGAAAAGTCCCTGCACAAAGTAAAGCACCACATCAGGGAGAACAGTTTGGCATGGCCCTCCCCATGATGTGGTAGCTTCTCCCAGAAGAAATTTTCTGATGTTGATAACGGTTAAAAAAATAATTGACTCCCCATCTCTGGTCTGAGGTAGGGCAATCCAGAATCGTATCACCTCGTTCTGTGCAAAGTGTAAAAGGGATGTGTTAACACAGGCTGAAAACCTATACATGTTTACCTGGGATTGAGTCCCACTGAACACAGTGGGGCTACTTCTGACAAGATATGTATAGGATGTCCTGCAGTAGAAATCCATGTTTGGTCAAAAGGACTGGTTTAGATCACATTAAAGAAGAATTTATCAGATTGTTGGAGGGGTGAGGTATTCTAGCTACTCCCAAGTATGTAAATAAAGCAGATTTTCATCCAACCATACTTGCAATTTCCTTGAATTTAAAATTAGCAATCGAGGAAGTCGAGACACATTATGGGTATACCAAAACCGGGCACAAACAGGAAAACACTGGCATGGGGATGATAGTTCCAATTTGACTGGGTTGGGGAGCAGAGAGTACCTTGTCAGGCAGTGTTAGCTGATTGTCTCCCGCAGCTCACTATTGTCTTCATGAGTCAAGGGAATAGGCAAGTCTGAATGGGAAAATACAAATATTTTATTTATATGTGGCCAACACTATTTAAAGTTCATACAATGTTGGCCTTCCTTTCTCATTCTTATTCACGCAGGTCTGATGCACAGCATACAGTTCGTACTACTTCCTCACAGTAATTAGAACATGGCTTTTCTTTGATTATTTTTTTATTATTAATCTATTGCAATGTCAGATAAAATCTGACTCCAAGGTTGATTTAGTTCCATGAACCTGGCAAACTGATTTTCTTTTCTCCTCTAGTAGAAAATAAGCGTAATTTGAAGTAGCCTATTAACCATTCCATCATAAAATATTGCAAGTAGACTAACCCCAATTATCTAACAGGCTCCAGGGACAATCATTCCATCAAACTAACAAGTAAGCAAACTTTTCTCCACACCTTACTGCCCTCTCGGAGTCTGATCTGGAGGTCCCCCATGTATCTTAATGCATTTGGATCAGCTATAATCAAGGCTGTTTGTATATTAAGCACACATTTTGCACTAAGAAAATTAGAAATTCAGCATTTAATAATATGAGCATGTGGTTACTTTGCATACTGCTATTCAGTTTTGCACAGTCCATTCTGATCACAGTATTGGAATTTGAAATGGTGTGGCAGGAAAGGTTTGGGATAGAACGCCTTTACAGTGGTACCTCGGGTTACATACGCTTCAGGTTACAGACTCTGCCAACCCAGAAATAGTGCTTCAGGTTAAGAACTTTGCTTCAGGATAAGAACAGAAATCGTGCTCCGGTGGTGCGGCGGCGGCAGGAGGCCCCATTAGCTAAAGTGGTGCTTCAGGTTAAGAACAGTTTCAGGTTAAGAACGGACCTCCGAAAGGAATTAAGTACTTAACCCGAGGTACCACTGTATATGAATAAATTCTAATTCCTGTTTTGTATGACTTTATATCACTTTTTTATTCGTTTTAAGATGAATCTTCAAAGATACTTCTTACAGAATATTATACTGTACACTGCTTAGAGAGTTTTAAAGTATTAAGTATATTATGTTGTTGTTTAGTCGTTTAGTCGTGTCCGACTCTTCGTGACCCCATGGACCAGAGCACGCCAGGCACTCTGTCTTCCACTGCCTCCCGCAGTTTGGTCAAACTCATGCTGGTAGCATCGGAAACACTGTCCAGCCATCTCGTTCTCTGTCGTCCCCTTCTCCTTGGGCCCTCCATCTTTCACAACATCAGGGTCTTTTCCAGGGAGTCTTCTCTTCTCACGAGGTGGCCAAAGTCTTGGAGCCTCAGCTTCAGGATCTGTCCTTCCAGTGAGCACTCAGGGCTGATTTCCTTCAGAATGGATAGGTTTGATCTTCTTGCAGTCCATGGAACTCTCAAGAGTCTCCTCCAGCACCAGAATTCAAAAGCATCAATTCTTCGGCGATCAGCCTTCTTTATGGTCCAGCTCTCACTTCCATACATCACTACTGGGAAAACCATAGCTTTAAGTATAACTATAATAAGACTATACGTATAATAACTATAAGTAGATTGTAAATGATTTAAAATAAATAGAAGATACACAGAAATGGGAAGTGAGGGTCCGCAAATACATACTTCCTATGCATTTCAGTGGCTGTTCCGATCTGATCAAAGTTACGCTTTTTAATTTTTTAATTCCGTGAATGAGCTGGATTTTCATCTTAAAAGTGGTTAGGCTTGGCTGTTCTTTTGGAGCCAACTATGTAGTGGAACTTGTGGATAAAGAGAGATCACGCAGGCAGCTTGTTCCTGTGACCCATGCTTCCCTCAGCCTTTGCAACCTTTGCAATCATAATTTATTCTCTGTTGATAAATCACACGTGAACTTACCCAAGTAGGAGATCTATGTGTTGTGTATGCTCAGGTCCTCTCGATCTGTTAAAAGTGCATGAGACAGAGCAGAGATGCACTCGCTGGCCTTACTCCCTCTGTCAGATCTGCAGGTCCACTGCTCTCCATGCGCTTGAAAGAAGAAGCCTGTGGTAGTTCTTGGAAACTTCTGCGCCAGATTTAGAATCCTGTAGAATAATGGTTCTCATTCACAGCAAAGCCTCTGGAGTACCAGGGCTGGCCCAAGGCATTTTGGCCCCTGAGGCATAGCAGAAAGGGCCCTACTGGCCAGGGAAGAAAGGCAAAGACCTACATCAGGAACAAGCGGGGGATAAAGTGTTTTATTAGGAACAAGGCAGGAGTGCACCCCCAGCAGCAGCAGCGGGCGAGGCATCCCTTGGAGGCCAGATGTGCTGCCGCCTGAGGCGGTCACCTCACCTTGCCTCATTGGTGGGTCGGCCCTGATGAGTACAGCGGGCTCCCTGCTGCAAGTATTCAGTCCTTTAGCATGCGAGCAGGAGGAGGGCCAAATATTGGGGACACGGCAGAGGGGATGGGGCCAGCCAGCCAGCCTTTCTTTGCTCTTCCTCACATGACTCTTAATCACATTGGGGAACTGAATGCCCAAATCGGTGTCTTGTGCGCTGTGATTCTTCCAGAGTGCACAAGAGGTGTTGAATGTTGAATTCAGCTTGCTGAGAATCGCAGCAGCTTTCAGGCATCAGAACTTGTTAAGGGGAACACGAAATCTGAGGGTTTAGGGTTCAGCACAATTCTCATAAGACCTTCTCTGCTTCAGAATTGAGTCGGATCAGATGTCAAAACGCCCCCCTTCAAAACAGCTCTGCATATGGGAAATTAGAACTCTTCAGAGTTGGTTAGCTTTACACAGAGAGAGAGAGTTAATGCTATAAGAGAGGGCTCAAAATGCAGATCCTGCACTTGTTTTCTGAGGTGCTACAGTGTGTGAGTTGATATCCTATGCCAGTGGTTTCCAACCAGTGTGCCGTGGCACCCTGGGGTGCCTTGAATGATGGCCAGAGGTCCTGCGGGCAACACTGGCCTCTGTCCCTCTTTCTTTCCCTCCCTCATCTGATACCCTTTCAAGTCTCTGCTTCCTCAAGGTTTGCATGGCTGTTTATTGCAGCAGCCCTGGCTATAAGCTCCGCAGGCAAATGGTGCCTCTGGCAGGCACCTCTCTTTGAGGGCGGGGGGGGGGGGCATCTCAGAGACCAGGGAGGGTGTTTGAAAAAGGGTGAGAGGCTGCCAGCTCTGCAGGCAAGGGGTGACATAAATGAGTTCCCGAGCCCCACAGGGGTGCCACAGAAAGAATGTAGTTGGTTCAGGGAGCTGTGGACTTAAAAAGGTTGAAAACCTCTGTCCTATGCTCTTTCTGAATTCTCGAGTTGTTTTGAAGAGCAACATACAGAAGGTAGTGGCAAAAATAGAGCCTTCACAACCACCTCATTACACTGTGATGCTCTTTGCTATCCTTTGCTTATTATTTATTAAGTTCTGTTCTGCAGTTAGCATTTCCAATGGGAAATAAAACTTTCTTCCCTTAAATTCTCATACTTTTTCTGTCCCTCTACTTTGTTTTTCCTTTTCCTTTTTTCCTCCACACTCCTCTGTTTTATCTGCCCCCAAATATTAAAAATACAGCACTTAAACGGTGGTCATACTAATTAATACTCAAGAGATTCAGACATCTTGACTGTAACTTCAGGCTGTCTCCAGACTCAATGTAATTGGGGTTTGTTTTTTAAAGAGTGTGTTACATGAATTCAAGTAAGTGTCAGTTCAGCTTTGTTACTATACTAAACTTCCCCCCTCCTGAAAATTTAAGGTCTAGTCTAGTTCCTTCTCTCATCACTTCTTCCCACGCTTCTTGGAAATGGCAAGGCTGGGTATATTCTTCGCTTCCATGGGGTTGGTGTCCCGGCAGGACAGAGATCACAATGTAGTGGGATGAGGAACGAAATCATTGGCACATGTTTTCTGTGGAGTAACTTTGAAGGAGCCACATAGAAGATGCTTCTGAGACTAATGTGTAAGTGGGAAAGTGAATTGAATGGGAAATGCCTTTGTGAGCCGCTGGGCTAGGTCAGATGTACTGATAATTGCTCTAACAAACCATAGAGTTTTAGACTGAGAATTATATGCCCACCCACTTCTTCCTCCTTTCTCTTGCGTGTCACAATTTAAAACTCCCTGGAGTTTGTTAAACCACAGTTTGTTAAACCATTCTATTTGAACCGGGAAACTGTGGTTTAATCTCAAGACCACTTACCAGGATATGAAACCAGATGCTGATCCAGGAGCCGGAAATGCATGAACTCAACACTTGTTCTTGTTACATCTGAACCAACCCATTGAGTGAAATAGCAAACTAAGGACTGGGTCATTCTTAGAGACTTTTTTGGACGTTCAAAGGCAGCAATAAGGAAAGATTGAATAGTGTGTAACCCTCCTCGTTCTTCTGAGTATTATCTGAAGGGAGAGATCTTCAAATCCTCTGTGTTGAGATTTATACTCTTGCCCCTACATCTCATTGTGGATGAGACCTTTCCTGCTTAGTTCAAAATATCTAAAGAGGGCATTCCTGAAAAGGGTGTAATGCCTGAGGACAGGCTTTAAGACAATTCACTGTCTTGTGTTATGGAGATGCCTGCTTCTTGTTCCCCTCCAAACCTGGAACTGTGCTTTATATCTACATAAATGTGACGTTTCCCCATTTTTCTCTTCTAGAAGAAACCAGAGAGCGAGAGGAAACCTGCGCCGTGAAAACAGAATTGACACTCCCAGAGAAAACGGCTGCAGTTTCTGATGATTCCTGCACAAACCAAAACAACGGTAACAAAACGAATCATTTTCATCCATCATTACCCCAGTTTCCTTCTGAGGAAGACGGTGCAAATGGGTTTGGGAATGAAATCATTAAGCTGACAGAGGAGCAGGCAGCTGCAGAGCTGGAAGGGAGCAGAGCAGAATGTTTGACAGAGAGCCAGGCAGCAGGTCAGCCAGAGCTCAGCAGCTCATCCGAAGGCGAATCCCCCTTGCCCAGCCCTCCTCCCTTTGACTCCACAGAGCCCTGCAACCTCGGGGAGAACAAACACACAAACGAGAAGCAGGCCGTGGAAGAAGAGACAGGAACCTCGGAAAGGGAGACTGAGAATCTTTGTGACAAAAAGGATGAAAGCGGTGACACAGTGAACGCCGAGGATGATGAAAAGCAAACTCTCCCAACTCCAGATTTCAGTGACATTCCAGATAATGTACCTGCAGCTGTGACAGTTACAGACAGCGCTCCTGATCTGGGCTCACCGTGACTCTTTTTGACCGTGGGATTGTTTTCAGAAAGGATGTGTCCCCGGTCTCTTCAAGCTTCTCCCAGCTGCTTCCTTGTTTGTCTGTCGAGAAAGATCCCCTAACACACACACACACACACATCCAACACTTTGGTATGTGCAAACAAACATACCCTAGAGAAATGTGAAAAAAAGGAGCAGGACTAAAATGATGGCTTTCAGAATTTTGCCCTCTGCTATTTGCTGCGATTAACGTTATTAGATAGAGTGACATAATTGAGAATAATGGGACTTAGCACCCCATCATTATGCTTTATCACGTCAGTTACATCTCTGTCTCTTCAGTATGTATAATTTTTGGTGCAGTGCCTGTTTGAATGTATCTTAAGAGACTGGAACGTCAGGGGGGGGGGAGTTGCCTTTGGTGAAGCCGGCAGAATCAGAAATGGTAAAACATAAGAGGCTTCAATGAACAAGCTTTCGGTTTCTCAGGGTGGGGGGTGATTCTTCCTGGCACACACAGTTTAATACTAAACAGCAAATTGCCTTGATATAACTGGTGGCTTTACATACACCGTGTCTGGTCATCGGATTAATTACTTGCAGACACACAAACACACAGCCTATTTTGCTGTTTCTCTTTTGAATGAGCTTTTTCCAGTAAGTACTAAGGCACAACAGCGTATTGACAAGGCTGGCCTTGCTGGCCATGTATGCACTACCACCCCTCCCTCTTTCCCTTTATTCTGTCCCCTCTTCCTTGCAAACTGTGAGCTCTCACTCTCTTCCTCTTCCTTCCCCCCTCTCTCTACTTTGCTGCAACTTCAGTTCTTGACTCATCTCTCTTACGGCTCACACTTTGGGTTGTATCAAATGGAGTTTGTCTGGCCTAGAAATGGAAGTTGAACTTTGTCCATGTCAGAATGACGTCTTTTTGAGCTTAAACCAGGGGAGAGTTGGAAGTCGGATGCCTTCTCTGCTTTCATTTGAGCAGCGTTTAAGCTCAAAAGGTACACCTGTGCAGAAGGGAAGTATATATTTTTCTTTCCCTTCTGATCCATTAGCCTTGTGGATAATAGTTGAAATTACTCTTTTTTCGTAGCCATTTTCTCTCTTCAGTTCTTCCCGTGGTGGCAATCAATTAGCTTCCAGTGGGAGAGAGTCTTTAGGGCTTCCTGGGCCTGCTGAGCAAAGCTTTCCATAGCCTGCTTCCACTGATTCTGAAGTGTTTCCTTGCGGTTCCTGGTAGGACAATGGCTGTGTAATATTTATTGTGGATATTTTGCAGCTGTGGAGCTAAAGGGAAGGCCTGATTTTTGTGTTTTTTGGTTTGGTTTCCCCCCTCCCCACCCCCAATAAGAAACAATCTCAGCAGCTGTAGAGCTTGTCTGGGCCTCCAGCCGTAGAGGCAATTTTCCTGCTGGCTTGGGAACCTAATTGCCTGTAAATGTTCATTTCTCACTCCCAGAACTTAAAACCAATGGGAGAGGGGATTAATCCAAATTTAACAATGGCGTTCATAAGAAAGGAGGGAAATCCTTCCTGGTTTGAGCCTTGGTTTTACAAAATAAATACCTGCCAGCTGCACATTGTTACAGGCTGCTTGTTAGCAGGTTCGTGCTGGAAGCAGCGGCAGACCCAAAACTTGAACGTCAGCTCAGCTAGACAGCAAGTGTTGCTTTGACGAAGGGACTCCAAGTGGACAAGCAGATTGTACCCCAGGCTTGGAACCGGGAGGAACCCTGAAAAGAGCTTCAGAATCCTCCAGCCAGCTGGAACAATTACTGGTTCTAACAAATGTTTAGCTGCTAGAGAAACCCCATTTGATCGCTCTCGCTCGCTCTCTGTACAACTTGCTCTTCTTCCAGTACAGCAAGGGAACAAGGAAGTCATTAGGCGTCTTTCTACAGTATGTGGAGACTCCTTTTAGGCCAAAGATTGTGGAACGGTTCCACATGGACACAGAACAAATGACAGCGTTTTCAAAGCCGGAGAGTTTTGTTTCAATCTTTCTTTACTTTTTCAACCCCTTCAGTTTCTCTGTTCCAAGAGGAAAGGGGGGGGGGAGAGAGACTCTGCAGTGTTCCTTTAACACTCCCTTAATCTTGGGCATTGCATCACTCTGCTATTTGCATCCCATTCTTTTTGAGCAACACTGGTTTATTCCAAATTAAATGCTTTTGTCTCTTGCATTAATATGAAAAAAAGTTGAAACCATTTATTAGTTTGCATAATTTCATTCCTCATAGTGCAGTGGAAGAGAAGGGGGAGGATTACGTTATCTCTTGGATTTGTGGTACTGTTGCTTTTATTGATAGAGTAGCTGACAATGTTATCGACTCGGCACAGCGTTTGTGCTTTTATTGGTAAAATAACAGATAGCCTTATTGTCTCGATTTGTTGTTATAGGAATGACAAAACTGATACAGTGGGAAGAGTAATGAATATGCACCAAACTTATGAATATGAAATTCTGGAATTTTGCTCATCATAAATAAGACATTCCACATCCCAATGTTCATTTCAAGATATATATTTCTTTCTGGTTTTGTCACAGCCTTGATAAGGGCTACAGCTAATGCTGATGAAGTCCTGGTGCAGAAAAAAATAGCCAAGTAGGGAGGGCAGCTTAACGTAAACAAGTTCACACCATGAATGGCCAATGTTTTGCATTGCTTTAAATTATGGAGTGAGGGCTGCCATTTGCATTTTTTATGTAGCGTCTAGTTTGGAGCCCAGCTGTGCTAGTGGAAATGTTTGCATTTGAGCTCAGTAGCTTCCGGTGAGCTGGAATGATGCTATCATAGGGAGAGATTGAATTAAGGTCATATATGTGTAAAAGCAAGTACAAGCCTGAAGAAGCAAGCCAAGTTTTTAAACAATGCATGTAACTATTAAGGTATTAGTAACAGATACGCTGCTCCCTAAAAATAAACATTCCTCAACCCCGTGATCTAAAAACTTCAGTAATCCAAAGAGCATGGGGTGATTCAGTGACTACTTACACAGTTGCAAAGAGCGACAGGGGATACAGCAGGTTAAGTGATAATTGAACTTCCCAGACCCAGTCACTATCCAAATCCATGATGTAGCCAGTTCCCTCTTTTCTTTACTTCCAGTGTCGCCACTCACTGTAACTATGTGTAATCTTATATCTAGACTTCTGGTGATACAGATTTTGGGGGGGAGGGTATCAGGTAATGTGATGGCCCCATGTTATAGCTGAATTCTTGTCAATAACACTCTTCCTGGTTTACTTTCTCTCCGTTCTTCTGCCCCTTCGATTCCAATTTTTGATTTGCTGGCTTCCTTAACCATTTAAAGGTCAAGTGGGGCACATTCCGTTTCTTACGCTTACAGAGAAGAGAAGGCAGACTGATACAGTGGTGGTACATCAAATGACATCTAGTTTAGACCTAACAGTCCTACGCATGTTCACTCACAAGTAAGTCTGGTTTCGGTGTTCAGTTGCACCAGAAGCGGCTTAGTCATGCTGGCCACATGACCCGGAAAAACTGTCTGCGGACAAACGCCGGCTCCCTCGGCCTGTAAAGCGAGATGAGCGCCGCAACCCCAGAGTCGTCTGCGACTGGACTTAACTGTCAGGGGTCCTTTACATTTTTAAGTCCCCCTGTTCTCAATAGGCCTTACTCCCTACTGTGCTTATAGCAGCAGCCTTCAGCCTCAAAAACATTGGCTTGCTTATCTGAGAGCAGCACAGTTGATGCTATTTATTGCAGAGGCTCTTATGAGTATCAGTTGTTGGGACTTAATTCTTTGCTATCAAAAACCCTAGGGAGCGTTCCTGTTTGTTTTTGATTGCCACTTGCACAAGTATATTGCAGCTATATTCATTTAGCTGCTGGTTGAAACCAGTACGTGGCCCCATAAATTTGCACTTGCATCTACCGTATTTTTTGCTCTATAAAACTCACTTTTTCCCTCCTAAAAAGTAAGGGGAAATGTGTGTGCGTCTTATGGAGCGAATGCAGGATGCACAGCTATCCCAGAAGCCAGAACAGAAAGAGGGATCGCTGCTTTCACTGCGCAGCAATCCCTCTTGCTGTTCTGGCTTCTGAGATTCAGAATATTTCTTTTCTTGTTTTCCTCCTCCAAAAACTAGGTGCGTCTTATGGTCTGGTGCGTCTTATAGAGCGAAAAATACGGTGTATATTTTTCAGTTGCAGAAAACAGTCAGTGCCAGTGGTAATGAAGCCTGGACGTCTAGGTACAAGAGTGCCTATTCTCCTTATCACTTGTGGTATATAATAGCAGGGGTTGGACTAGATGACCACAGGAGCCCTTTCCAACTCCATGATAACCACCTTTGAACATGGACGTGCACCACAGTGGATCCACGTATTATTTTTACATGTCAAGTTCCCAACGTCCCGTTGCAACCTAAGCCCTATTCCGGCATTCGTGCAATGAAGTCTTTCTCCCAGTGAAAGTTAAATGACTGCAAGGGAGAGCTCCTGTACTTGTAAAATCTCCCTGCACAATTTATAGCTTGCACTGGAAATTACAGCAGGCTCTCTGTTGCAGGGCTTTGTCCTCCAGTGTGCGGTGGGAGTGTGGATGCAATGAAGATAGTGTGTCCAGCTCGAGGGGGAAGCTTTAGCCTGCTCCACCTTAACCTTCCTAGTGTTGCTGAATGCGCCCCATTATTTCTCCCATAAACCAAGTAGCTGCCATTCTCTTTCACGGGGGGATAAGCTCTTCACACAGGGACATGGATACTATGAGGACACTGAGAGCGTTCCATCAGCAGGGGGTGGGAGCTGTGGCGTGAATATTGCCGTTCACGATAGAAAAAATTAAAATCCAGTTTCAAAGGTTCGGTCCAGTTCGACCAAGAAAGAGACAGAACCCAGCATAGGGCTGCGATTATCAGGCTTCAGCTGTAAAATGAAATAAGTCTAGTCTTACGATTCTGCTATGTAAAGTTCTTCTTGGCTTTTTGTTTCTTTGTCTCACTAGGACTCGTTTTTCATATTTATCAGTTCTGGAGGCTCTCAGAAATTAAGACTTCTTTCATAAGTTGAGGTGTTTCTTTAAAGCTTTTCTTTTAAGGATTCCCTCGCATCCTTCTGCAAAAGGCAATGAACACTAATGTCGGGGAGAAACCCCAAATGTTACATTTTAAGACTCTTTTACGTTAAAAAGGTGTTTGATAAATCATTCAACAGTGCAGATTTCCAATGGTCATGGAAACAACCTCTTTTTGAAGGAAAAAACAATCTTTTTGCTAGTGGAGGCTAAATGTATGCACAGGGCATTTTATATAATTCACCAGAAGTTTTTTTAAGACAAGAGCTCTCAAGAATGTATTTTAATAAATCGGGTGGAAATCATGTTTTTTAAAAACCTTAAATAAATTAATTGCTTTATAAAATTCTGCTGCTGGTTAATAATTTCCTTTAAAAATGTCTATTCTATTTATTTGCAGGCCTTGCTTTCATTGCAACCCTGTCATCAAGTAATATATATATTTTGTCAATTGTAATAAAGACATTTCCTAATATATTTATCTATATTTTGTGTTGTTTTTACTTCATTTTTATAACATGACTGTGACTCACTTGGTCTTAAACTCTGGTGCATGGCAGCTGCTGGTGTACTTTTAAGTGCTTTGTGCAACTTCAGTACAAATAGCAAGGGGAGAATATTACGAGCTGGGTATACATGTTCTCTTTAGACGTTTATTCCACATTCTGAAGCATTGACCCAATTTTTAGTTGCCCTCAGCTCTCACTTGGTATATAGTTTGACTGCAGGATTCTGGCCACAAAAGATCCAGGCAACAGTGGGGTTTTAATTCAGAACCTATCCAAGCATCCTCACATATTTAGAAAAATGTGGTGGTTCTGTTAAAAAATATATAGAAAGAAATGTAAGCCACAATCGCTTAGAACAAAGTTTAAGAAGCGGTGTCAGGTTACGTGTGTATTTGTCAGATCAATGGCCAAGTGTTTTAAGAGATAAACATGTACACCAGTACATAACTAAAGTTCATATTTTTCCAGTTTACCTGTCACTGGAAAAACTCGTTGATTTTTAAAAAAAACAAACAAACCTAGATTTTGCCCTCTGAACGCTTGTCAGAAACCTTTTTTCAGAACTGCAAAAACAAAACAATTTCTGCAGTGTAAAGTATATTTTGCTCTATTTTATTAGTTCAGTACTCTCAACAGCTGCACAAAACTACATTGCCGTGCTTCTGTGGCATAGTTCATGGCATCTTTGTCACTCTTGAAAGCATGCAGAAAGAGATCCGCCTTCATTTATCAACATTGCACAAACAGCATTACACAATTTAACCAGAAGTGATTCAAATCACACTTTTCCAAATATTTATTCAGTGACTAAGAAAAAGTCAGGAATGTTTTTGGAAACACTTGCTTCAAATATAAACAGTGCGACACAGCTACAGGACTGTGGATAACTCAAACCAGCTAAGAAGCTTAAAAAGAGTTAGGAAGTAAAACCTGCAAATATAAGCAGAATAAAATAATGGATCTGAAGTTTTAAAAGAAATAACACACAAACTCCTACCTGAGCTCTGGGGGGGGGGGGGAGCTGTTATCACTCTCTGCCAGCCCATCCTCAAACAGTTGAAAGGGAAGTATTTTCTTTATGCGTTTCAGGTATATAGGAAAACAGAGCACATCATCTTAGTTGGAGACATTTATTTTTACCGTTTGTTCGTCCAGCTTTCTTGTTCTTGATATTTTCCCCCTAAGAGATATGGCACACAATAAGCAGGGTTGCTCAAGATTTCAGTAGCGAAGCGTACAGTCCTCCTTACTATATCAAGGATAAACTTTAGAGCTGGTGGGGGGAGCAAGCCTGAACCTTTAAATAATACGCCGCTACTTTTTATTATTAATCTGCTTACAGAACGGAGCACTATGACAGAGCAAAAGGCGTATCTTACACTTTCTCAAAAGAAGCAGAAGGCTTTCCTATGGTTTAGCAGCAACGGCATGCGAGCTGCTGCTTGCCTCTTTGGTCGTGAGCATTTTCTTCCTCTTCTCCTTAACCTCGGGGAACTGCCTTTCCCACAGGTTTTTGGTGCCCGTTCCGACAACACAGCAAGCCAGGCGCTTGCCCGCGTTGCCGTTCTCCAAACTGGCCTTGTTGTTCCCTTTCCCCAGGTCGTCTTCCTGCTCGTGGATCACAACCGATCTCCCTATGATGCTGTACGGGCCAAACAGAGTGGCCACGAGATTGGCCTTATATTTTTTAATCTTGCCTTCCTTAGAGTAGAAGTTCCCAAAGTCCCCAGGGTGACGAGGGTGGTTTTCCTTGAAGGGATTGTAGTGTCCGCCTGCGGAGTCGCAGCCGTCGCTGAGGTCTCCGTATTGGTGGATATGAATCGCTCTCCCGGATAAGTTGGCGCCTGCCGGAAAACCGTCCAAGTTGAAAATAGCTTCCAGTTTCCCATTTGGGTAGGCCTGCCTGAACAGAACGTGTCCTGTCACCTGTGGCTTGTCCGCACCTACTTTGGGGCTGGGTTTCACCAAGCAGGAGGCGTAAGCAGTCCGGTTGGAGGCGACGATATCTTCGTACAGCTGCGGATAGAGCAAACTCAGCCACAGGTCGTTGACTTTTTTCTGCATGTCCTGGAGTGCGTTTTCTTCATTTGGCTGGGCGTCAGTTACACAAAGGGCCACGACGGTAGCGAGAAACAGCAGCGAGAACATGGCGGAGTTACGCGGAACCTGCAAAGGGCTATGAAAATAATGCACAGAAAAGTGGTGTCAATGGCTTTGGTAAGAGCACCGACGCCAAAGGAAAAATAATAATAGCATTTTATAACATTGTGCTGAGGAGGGCAACCAATGATCAAGGGTCTGGAAACCAAGCCTTATGAGAAATGGTGGAGGGAATTGGCCATGTTTAGTGTGGTAAAGAGGAAACATGGTGGTCATCTTCAGATATCTAAAGGGCTGTCGCATGGAAGATGGAGCAAGCTTTTTTCCCCTTGCTCTGGAGCAGGGGTAGGCAACCTAAGGCCCGTGGGCCAGATGCGGCCCAATCGCCTTCTCAATCGGGCCCACAGACAGGGCGGAATCAGCGTGTTTTTACATGAGTAGAATGTGTGCTTTTATTTAAAATGCATCTCTGGGTTATTTGTGGGGCATAGGAATTCGTTCATTCCCCCCCCCAAAAAAAAAATAGTCCGACCCACCACATGGTCTGAGGGACGGTGGCCCGGCCCACGGCTGAAAAAGGTTACTGACCCCTGCTCTGGAGGGTAGGACACAAACCAAGAATCTGAAGAAGTGTGCATGCACACGAAAGCTCATACCAATAACAAACTTACCGTAGTTGGTCTCTAAGGTGCTACTCTAAGGTGGGACACGGGTGGCGCTGTCGGTTAAACCACAGAGCCTAGGACTTGCTGATCAGAAGGTTGGCAGTTCGAATCCCCACGACAGGGTGAGCTCCCGTTGCTCGGTCCCTGCTCCTGCCAACCTAGCAGTTCGAAAGCACGTCAAAGTGCAAGTAGATAAATAGGCACCACTCTGGCAGGAAGGTAAACAGCGTTTCCTTGCACTGCTCTGGTTCGCCAGAAGCAGCTTAGTCATGCTGGCCACATGACCTAGAAGCTGTACTCCGGCTCCCTCGGCCAATAAAGCGAGATGAACACCGCAATCCCAGAGTCGGCCACAACTGTACCTAATGGTCAGGGGTCCCTTTACCTTTAAGGTGCTACTGGAAGGAATTTTTTAGTTTTGTTTCGACAATGCAATCAAACTACAAGAAAGGAGATCCCGACTAAACATTAGGAGGAACTTTCTGACAGTAAGAGCTGTTTGGCAGTGGAACAGACTCCCACAAGAGTGGGAGTCTGGAGGTTTTTAAGCAGAGATTGGTTAGCCATCTGTCACGTAGGATCTAGTTGAGATTCCTGCATTCCAAAGGGTTGGGACTAGATGATCCTTAAAGTCCCTTCCAACTCTACAATTCTATGGTTCTACGAAACTAT